GCTCAAGCCTTCATGTTCAAGCTCTGGTGAAAATATGAAGAAAACATCACATATTCTGTTTTGACTCGTGTATTATTATACAGGAATGATTGCACAAAAGATAAGGAATGGAGACAAAACAACTGGAGAACGGCTCAGGGACTTGTCATAAATATGCAGACTTTTAAACATTTGAAGCTAATCCCAAAGGGGGAGATCTGTTGCAGAGATGGGAGGGCTGGTTCACGAGCATGACAGAAGAAAGAACAACAATAACGATGGCTCTCTGCATGCAGCATGTCTGGCTTTACATATTGCAGTATCCCCATGCAAAGGAAACTGCTGTATAGGCAGTTTCATTTGCACTGGATCATAGTGGGGAGGTGCTCGACATGTAGAATAGCCTTTACACCTCATCTTCCACTAAGTTTGTCTTTTCCCTCTTTATTCTTGTCGCTCTGTATTGCCGTGCACAATGCATGTTGGGTTTGTAGAATATTAATATTTATGATTATGCATGTTATAAATGAAGTCACCAAGCTGCAGTGGTGGAAAACTGCATTCAAGTAAATGCACTTATTTAAAGTTACTGTGAGTGAATTCTGAAATACTGTAGTTATGAATCAGTCTTGAATTAATACTGATGCCTCTATGTGACCTTAATAAATCTAGACCACCATCAGCAAGAAGATATATACGTTTTTATAAAGTTATTATTATGCAGGTTTCCCCAGAAACTCCTTCACCTCAGACTCCAGCAGCAAACAGCCCAGACTTTGCTGCAGCCTTCTACCTGCAAGCGGAAGCTCAGCGACGGAGAGTCCAGACCAATAGAATGCCAGTATAGCCATATACTGTATATAGTATACCAATGAAATGATCAGAGTGCATTCGTTTTACTCAGAGAGTCCATGGCAGGCACAACCAGGTCCATCCACTGCCCACCAAGGCTTTCATATTTTGCCTACTACCCTTGCTTTCTTTTGGAATTCGGAACTTTTGGAATAAAATGATAGTTTGCATTTTTTACTATAATAACTACACCAGCAAATATAACTGGAACCAAACTTTTTATTTCCTCCCATAGCTGACAGTATCCTCAAACCTAAATCTATCTAGTGCTCTGATAGTGCCATGTTGTTATTAATGAATGATGAATTATCCTTTGTTTTATCCCAACATGTTCCCGTCACTGCGACAATTAGACTGAGATTTGTAGTCGAGTTAGGCTCCTTAGATCGATTTAGTGAACAGTCGAGTACTAGGGGTCACCCCTTGATCAATAATTGGATCTCAATTCATCTCTAAGTGAGATCAAATGTCTTTAGAATTAAGACTGAGACAGTAGATCTGTTCGACCTGAAGCTGGATTTGACCCTGTTCCACAGCAGTGATGGGTTATGGATCTCTGCCTGCAGGGGAATTGGAAAATCAGCGGTCTGATCATCAAGGTCAGACCAGCAGCGTGGAACAGACTGCAACTGTCCCTGGCAGGACTCCATCAGCCTCATAACTTACATCGTTGTGTTTTGTGTGTAGTCAATAGAGTCACATTTTTCCACAGACGCTCTGTCACGCAGGCCAGTTGTCTTTCCAATGCCCCGCCATCCAGCAGCAGCATCAGCATCTCTACAGGCCACGTAGTCTACTTTTGGGTTGAAAGATATGTTATCTCCAGCGTCAAACTATTTCTTACATGACTTGAAGACTCCTGATGAGAGCACATGAGTTGTGGTGATAGACCTGGTGTGTGACAGCCCACTACAGGCAGCTCAGGCTCACTGCAGATTGGGTGGATTTTTTGAAATGACCAGAGTGCTCTCTGCTGGTGATGTTGTGAAGTGATGGGCCTTTTCCTGCAGCATCTCTGCTCATTCCAGATGAACTGTGCCTCATCTGGAAAGTGCACGAAACTAGGTGGCAGCAGCAGAGGGCTGATTACACAAAGCTGCGGTCAAGTCGGACAGTGTCCAGCAGCCTTCAAAGAATGTACAAGACGTCAAAGAAATATTAGCAAACTGTTGCAAACGCAGGCTACCGGTAGTAGTAGCCGACCACATTCAGATGTATTATTTGCAGATTTGTGTATACGATATACTGTATACTATTAATGTCATGGGGGCCAATTTCTACCGTGGGGAACAAGTCTTGGACTCCTTTGCAATCAAGTGTGTGTGCCCCAGTAGTCAAAGTTGGTTTCTATTGACACTCAGGTGTTTGTTTCTTTAAAGTATGTTAAATTGAGTGTGGTTGGTAACAGCCTTGATATAAGACTGGAATATCAGACGGGAATCAAAAATCCCTCCATGCTTTTTGATGATCAAGCTTTTTAAAAAGACCAACATCAATGTTGAAACTCAAGTTCTACTCAAGATCCATATTCCAAAATTCAGCTGGACCAAAAACTAATGCTAATGCTAATGCTACAACTACTACTACCACTACTGCTGCTATAGGCTAATACTAATACTAGTAATGTTACCACTAGGCTAGCCTACTGTATTTTGACTACTTAAGATAATGTGTGTTCAAAATAGCAATATTAATCTTGTACAAGTACTAATAACTTAAACTTGAAACATGCATATCTCATATTTTAACATTTTAAAAGATACATTAATTAAAATTAGATTAATTCTATTTGTATTTAATTTGAATATATTATTGATATGATATAAATAGCTAACACAGACACATTTTACATTAGAAAAGACAGAACATTGGTTATAAAATGCATATTAATACATAAGAAAGCATGGCAGTCAACATGCAACATTGTTTAGAGAGTGTGGATGATAACGTTAGCACAACTTATTAATGAATTAATCATTTAGAATTTAGGATGATAAAAACTAATTAAAATGTGTTCCATTTGGTACCTTATTATTAAGACAACATCAATACACAATGTCCGCACTGTATCAAGGAGGGGAGGGAGGAACACACTTCTCCTGACTTCTGTGGTCTCCTTTTCATCTCTGCCCATCCCCCACCCCTCACCGTCACAGAGAGTCAGATGTTGACCGTCAGTAGAAACACGTGAATGCTGCAGCACACAAGCAGCTTAGAGCGTCAGGGTTAAAGCAAAAATGGGAGCAGAGGATGGACCCAAACGCAGAGAGACACATGGGAACAGAGGGATGATCAACAGGAATTTTAATAATGTTCAAAACAAAACTTGGATCAGGTAAATTAGGAAAAACGCACAAGGGATACACATTAAAGTATAAAAATATAATGCAATTTAAAAAATTTAAACAATTGCCAGATATCAAATATCACATAACACACTTAGATATTCATGAAGTTCTTCAGCCGTAACCATTTCTCATTCAGTCTTCAGTTACAATCATTTTTTATTTTTGTTTCTAGTAGTTTGTTTTTCACCACACAGCAATGACCATTATATTTTTAAACTTTAAAATATCCTGCTAAGTACATAAAAGGGTTCTCATCAAAATACTGTCAATGAAATGAATAGAATCCAGAAATCTTCTTCTCAAATAGCAACAGATTATTTCTAATCTTTCTTTGCATTTCGTCTGTTCTACGGTGGTAAACGGTGGTATATGATGCTCTACGGACAAACAGATGGCTGACAAATTAAAGAAAATAACAACATAACGTGTCTTAGTCAGGTGTTGGGCTATTTCAAGTCTCCCATAGGTGCTCAGTTGGAATTAATTCACATTATTTTCATACTTATTGAACCATTCCACTTGTTTCCTGCATGGAAGCATCTGCAACTCATATATTCAAGGTTTTTCATAGGACCCGAGAGCCCCCCACAGGGGGCTGTTTTAGAGTGTGCAGCATTCAGCGTGTCGTAGAAAGCATTTTTCATAAAGAAATATGATTATTGCTCGGACTTTTCCCGTTAATTCGATATTTAATATGTCTGGAGCAATACCAGCCATTGTAAACACTGCAAACACAATTATACATGAACTAATATCATATCTGGAAGATATCTAGAAGATTTGCCACAATTTTGGCCAAAAATCGACGACCTATGCTCACTCTATGGCTCTCTCATCACGGAGCAGGATCGCACATGGCGGATGAACACATGCAGGGGGGGCACGATTCGACCCGGAAACGCACAGCGGCGTCCAAATTACTCTCTTTCAAACCGTTCAAAAGTTATGGGTATGCATGCCAACATCAGCCGCAGGTCACGAGAAAAAAAATTGGGTAAAAAACTTACGTTTTGACGGTTTTGGCGATGAAAAACGGATTTATTCGAGCCGATTTTTGCACGGCTCTGCCCGCCATGTTCTGCTGCATGTCTGTGAGTGAGATCAATGCGCTGGCGGAATGAATCACAAAATGGCAGACGATTCTGTGGGGTGGAGCAATCCATGTCGAGAGGGGGGTTCGCCCAGCATTTTGCGATTTTTAGTCAGTAAACAGACCCGGATACGATCAAACACCCCTGCATGGCTCCCGTTGGACTATCCCGCATCTAAAAATGTCTCACACGAGTAAATCGGCCTTACCAGGGTCACATAGACACACATTATGAGCCATTTATTGTTATGAATGACAGATATGACACATCATAACTGCTCAAAATTATTCAAAATGGTGTCAAACTGATTTATTAGGATTATTGAACACTCTTAGTGATAAGAAAAGTGAATATTTAGTTATATAGTACATCAAATTAGTATACAGCAATGCAACAGCTGGTTCCGAAAATCAAAATTTAGATTTTTATGACCATTTATGCTGGCCTGCTTCACTCAATCGAAGTAAAATATGTTGTGGGGACATGTAAAACGTGTTGTTCTATGACTGTGGCGTGGTTTTAGGCTTACAGCTGCATTATTTAAAAAAAAAAATGTTCAATACAAGTGCTTTTTTTCAGGCGAACCTAAAAAATTTTCAATTTGAGCTGTGCCATAAGTGTATCAGTTATTAACCAGTAACATATACACAATATTTACACAATTCAACACATCTCACAAGTGTTACCAGTATTCTAGCATCAAAATTATTAAAATAGACCTTGTAGTTAGAGCTCGGGACTCTCTTGAGTATGGCTATGCAATTTTCGAGCAGAGGCCTAAAAATAGGGCTAGGGTCCTATGAGTTAATTTGTCACCTGCTTGTGCATAAAAATTAACTTTGGTGTTATAGTCTGACACACAGAAGCATGTGAGAGACATTTACTCTCTGGTGAGCAAATGATAAACTTCTTCTCCTTCTTTTGTATCAATCCCACATCACAGCTGCATCTCAGATGCTGCTGCCCTTTAAAGGCGCGTACTCGTTCTCCCTCGGACTCTCCCCGGCTGTGAAGCTCTCCTCCGTGGTCCTCTTCGCCTCTTTGGAAAGCCTCTCGAACCTCCTCAGGAACACGATGAGAGCCACCAGCAGAGCCGCCTGCACCAGTACAAACACAAAGAGACACACCTGCGAGGCCAGAGCCAGGTCACAGTACCAGTAGTGGCAGGACTCCAGGACCTCCTTCTCCATTAAATACACCAGCAGTCGCCCTCTCAGGCCGGGAGGGGAGCTGCAGTTGACGCCCAGGTGTGATGTGAGGGTGGCGGGCTGACGGAGCAGCCAGGATCGCAGGTAGAGGATGCCGCAGTCACACTGCCAGGGGTTACCTTGAAGGGAGACGGAGCCGAGGGAGGTCAGATCATCCAGGAGCCCATTGGGGAGGCTGGTCAGACGGTTATCGTGGAGACGGAGGGAGGTGGTCCCAGCAGGAAAACTGGTGGGCAGCGAGGAGGAGGTGAGAAACCTGCTGCTGCAATCCACCTCACTGTCATGACAGGAGCAAAGGGGGGGGCATGCTGATGACCTTTGACCTCCAAACAAGGGGAGCAGGCACAGGAGCAGAAGTCCTTTCATGGTTACTGATCACTGCAGAGGAGGGGAGAGGAGAGGAGAGGAGGGCAGAGGAGGGGAGAGGAGAGTCAGTTGTTCATGATATGTCCCCTTTAATACGATGTCGAGGTACTTTGAACTGTACTTTAGTATTTCCATTTTCTGCCACTTTATACTTCTAAAATTCCGAGGTATATATTGTACTTTTTACTCAACTATATTAATTAGTTACTTTGCAAACTCAAATGAATTATACAAAGTACTTTTACCAAAGTAACATTTTGTATGCTGAACTTCTACTTCTACAAAAGTATTTCTTCATTGTAGTATTACAACTTGAACTGAAATAAATGATCTGAGCACTCCTTCCTTTAGCGCTGCAATGATCACTTTTGGGGGCCACGCAATCGGCCCTCACTAGCTGTTACACGATAGGAATGAACAAGAGTACCGCAAAAATCATTATCTATATAATAGTATTATCTTCATGAAACTTACTTTCATGTGAGGCTGTAAGTTGTGGTGTTGTTGGACTGTGCAGGTTTTTAAATGGTTTCAAATGTGCATCTACATTACCTGATCAAACCAATATAAACTCATTTTTGCTGACTTTCAGACGCATTTTATGAAATTAAATATACATGTGATGTTCTTCTGAGTAATCTAAAGTTAGTTCACCGATAGTTGAGTATCAAACACGTACACGATACGATTTACTAAAGTAGCAGTTCCAAAACATGTGCTAACGTATATCGACGCGATGTGTTCATATCAAAACATGTAGCATTCTTTTGGATGTTTCGTTCCTCCAGTGCACTGACGGCAATACAAACGGATGAACGTCCAGCCACATTTGTCCAACTTGAGGTCAGGACGATGCAGTCTGTGGCCGAGGCCTCGTGTGAGGCTTGATGAGCAGACGGAGGCACAAAGCACTGATACGTCACAGAGATTTTAGTTTGATTCTTGGAAAACAAGTTAGAAATGTATCTTTTACAAGATCCTTCCTGGCTCTTACAAACAGAATAGAGTCATTCTGACAAACTGAACTTCACCGACTTGACAGCTTTCTGTGATATGTTAAGAGCAATACACTGAGTGATGTGTCAGGAAGACCTGTTTTAATGTCATTCATGTTAAAGACAGCTACAGAACTAAAGAGTCATTTACCTTCAGTGCTGCGTGTCTTCAGGAGAGAACTGTGTCTCTACGGTCGCTCTGAGAGGCCGAGTGTGTGTGTGTTACTACCAGCTGGCACTCACTGATAAAGACCACTGACCAATAGGAACACACACACACGTACAGTACAACACACACGCACGGACGTCTAACAGGACATGAGACGTATCGCAGGAACTCGTTATCTTATGGGTGTTGGGATCTGACTATATGGCTTCGACATGTGCTGTGGAACAAAGAGAGTCAGGCCTTCCCTTTTGCAAGCAAAGGTTTCATCCTGATTGTAGTTTGATGAGCACCAAACCCCCCAGCTCTGAAGAAATTCACATTAGGGTGTGAGTTTCCTCCCCCCAAAAACTACGTGTTCCTGAAGTTACCTGAAAGCAGCGCTGCAATCTAATTGGCCAAGGGCCAAGACACCCCAGGACCCCTGTGGTTCAGCCACTGTTCTACAAAACTACCTGCAACCCCCACCTCAATGCTTTTTCCCTTCGACCTCCGTCGAGCTAGGGAGCACACCAACGTTGTTTCCCTTTTCAACCAAATCCTAGGTCTAACAGTTTATATTCGCTGGCCGAATTCACCAAACTGTCTATTTTATCTTTGTTGGTATCCACGAAGCGAACCCCTTTTTAGTCCTGCAGAAGTGAAGAAGCAAGACTTCTTCAGAGAGAGAGAGAGAGAGAACTTCCACTCTCCACCAAGCGCCTCGTCTGCTCTGGCCATAAGGACGCAAAAATCCCTTATCCAGACGACAGCGATTCTCTCCTACCGAGAGAACACCTCCCGCGGCCCGCAGCCCGAGCCCACGGAAGCTCAGAAGAATCCCCCCCTCAACCAACACGATCGCATCGTACCGTAAGGCGAAATAGAGTCTGGGCAGAGTTAGAGAGAGTTAATTTGTGTTTATTTTATCTTGTTTGTGTGCTTAAAGTACTGTTCATTTTTATAACGTGGTGTATGCTTTATGATCACCAACATTGGTGATCCCTGAAATTGCTAGTGTTGTGTAGAAGTTACGTGTATTCCATGCTACTGTGATTCGTGTCGAGACAGCCGCAGTGAGGTCGGGGACTGCGTCTCAGGTCAGAGGTCGGAACCGCGTCTGTGACAAAGAGCCCGGTTCTTGCAGTTTACCGAACTCCGAACTCCTTCATTATAATGATGTTCTACTGCAGGAAGCGCTCTGAAAGAACCGTTTGGAACTTAGAGGTAAAATAGTGTTCAATGAGTTAGTTATTATTATCTTTAAGTAATTACTGGTGTAACCTAGAGAGCCTTCTAGTCAGATTACAGCAGCTAACACAGGAACACATTCAACATGTGCAGGGTAAAGTTTACGATGATAAATTATATTTATGAATATTTACATGGGTTTAAATGGAGAAGTTCTTTTAAGGGCATTTTTCTATTTTCCCTGTAATTAGCATAAAATATGTTATTTCTTAGATTATTGGGAAAATCTGTAATATAAAGTGTATTTAAAGTTAAGATCATGCAGCAAAGAAGAAAACACGTCCTTCATCGTGATACATTCAGATGGTTCTACTCAAGTACTGCACTGTCCAATTTTGAGGTACTTGTACTTTCCTGTATTTCCATTTATACATTTTAGACGCAAACATTGCACTTGTTACTCCAGAGCATTTATTTGATTCCCTAAGTACTGGTTACTTTGTAGATTCTGACTAATAACACAAAATAAAATAATAACTTATAATGTATTATTATAGGTTAAGCGTATTGATCCCCACGGCAGGATATTAAGTACAGTATTCAAAATGAGCTCTACTTTTACCAGCTTCAACATTAAAGCTTTAATGCATCAATGATTATAATATCATAATATAATATGTGGCATTGTGCATAATGAGTACTTTTGGTACTTTAAGTATATTTTGATGCTTCTACTTTTGCACTATAGGTAACATTTTCAGAGCAGGACTTTTTCTTCAGTATTTCTGTAGTATTGCTACTTTTACAGAAGTACAATATCGGAGTACTTCTTCCTGCACAAACTGTGTGAGTCAAAGTCCCGGCACATAAACACATACGTGTCTCATTCATTCTGATGTGACGTCTGCTCTGACTGGCAGTGTGCAGAGGAAGGATGGCTGCAGGAGATAGACGTGACTCAGCAGATGGCTCCAGCTCTGAGCGCTGCCACTCACACTCTGACAGCCGTGTGTGACGGAGGCGCTGAGCTCACTGGACCTCAATGTGCTTTAATTAACTCTGTAACACTCAGAGAGAAACGATGCAGGATAATAAGGACTGCGGGGAAATATTTCTCTTATTATTAGATGTATCCCATCTATTACTTATTACTGTGTTAAAGTCTCCTGCACATATTAGTGTGCCTTGTCATTCTGAGGAAATCAGCTCACGTATTTTTCTCATACTATATGATCACTTTGTGGGGGTCAATAAACACAGATAAGGTCAATTTGTTTTCAATCAACACATATCTGCCTTCACTGTCCCTGATCTCCCTAACCAAGTCAAAGTTATTTGAATTATGTAATAATATAGCGACTTCTCTTTTTCTGGTTTTCAATGAGCTATAAAATGTGTTCTTGTATCCAATTTCTTTTAATTTTTCATGTTAATTTTGGGATAAATGCGTTTCCTATAGAAATATAATTTGGTGGTTTTCCCTTCTCATTTTTGACATTACGCTGCTTCTCTTAACTGGATTATTTAAGCCATTCACGTTCCAGGATGCTACCTTGAAGTTACTGTATCCCATAACATCAATATGTATGTGTTGGCAACATAGACACGTGCGTTGTAACAATAACGAATAACAAAAGCATTAATAACAAATAAAAAATGCACCTCCTGCCCTGTCATCTTCATCAAGCTATTCTGCTGGTGGAGAATTAATCCTACTTCAAGTAGGGGCTCCCTCTCTGCAAAAAAACAAAGTCTCTGTTCCCTCTTGAGCCAATCAGTCACCAAGGCAAGGCAAGTTTATTTGTATAGCACATTTCAACAACAAGGCAATTCAAAGTGCTTCACATAAAACCATTAAAAGCATCAAAACATAAGGAGATTTAATTAGACCTCTCCCGGTCATTTGTGCTCCATTCATATGTCGAGGAGGCCCGAAAACAAGCAACGAGTTAAAAAAAATAAAAGCGGGGAGAGTAGGGATCGGGAATAATAAGATTATGTGTGTGTATGTATGTCTTTGGACAGTCCTCTGTCACTGTGTGGTTTGGATCGGACACAGGACAGAAACAGACTACAGCGGACTGTCAGGTCTGCAGAGAGGATCATTGGTGCCAGCCTGCCGTCCATCCTGGACTTGTCCACCTCCAGAGTCAGGAAACGGGCTGGAAAGATCACTGCAGACCCTTTACACCCTGGACACGACCTGTTCAACTCCTCCCCTCTGGAGGGCGCTACATAGCTCTGTACGCCAAAACCACCAGACACAGGAACAACTTATTTCCACTGACCGTCACTCTGATGAACAATTAATCAGACATATTGCACTACTACCACCACTTGCACTATCACCTCAATTGCCATTGTTGTTTATAGGTTTATGTTAAAATATATATATACACTTGTTTGGGTATATATATTTATACTTATATTGTACATAGTTGTTAAATGTTTATACCTACATCTTTTTTCTGTTGCCCTAGTTTTATTTTTTATATATTTTGTTCGTGTTTATTGTAAACTTGTGTATGTACATTGAGAGCGAAGTGGAAACCGGAGTCAAATTATATGTATGCGAGGAATAATCTTCCAAACCCTCATTAATGGCAATATTATTAAACACAAACAGATATGCTTTCTCAGTCCCCGGTCTTTGTGCTCCAGTGAGCGCCTTGTGGGAGTTTCTGGTCCCAGCTGCTGTCGATCTGCCTCTGTGGCAGGTCCAGGGAGTATCCTCTCCTCCTCATGTCCTCGGCTGCTTCTGCAGTGTTGCCAACTCCTCAGCAAGGAAAGTAGCTATTGGCTGTCCTAAAAGTCGCTAGAAGTCGCTAAATGACATCATCGCCTAATTTGCATAATTGTAATGAGCACTGTAGGAGAGAGGCGGGAACAGCGGCGGCTTTGCGCATGCGCGATTCATTTGCAGTCTGGACACGGAGAGTGTGGGTCTCCTCTTTCTGCAGCTGGGACTGCTGCGCGAGGGGCTACTGTGAGACTAACTGCCTTTGAGTGCTTTGGGGCGGCGGAGGGGCTCACGGCAGCTCCCGCTGCTCCTTTACAGCAGCTCCCACGTGCCGAACGGTACGTGCTTTCACGTCAGAGTCAAAACACCAGAAAGGTCTCCAACAACACCAGAAAAAGTAGCTAAATTTGACGCTAGTAGCTTTTGACAAAAAAAGTCGCCATGAGGGTTTGGAAAGTCGCCAGATTTAGCGAGAAAGTCGCCAAGTTGGCAACACTGGCTCTGTGGCATTGTTACAGATGCTTAAGGCAGTAAAGCAGAGCGTCCTTCAACTCGGACTTGACGGTCTCCGTTTCCTCAACTCGTTGCTCTGCTTCTGCTAATCGTGCACCATGGTTGCGGACATCTGCAGCAACATTTTGTAGTTTTTGGTTTATCTCCGTCTTAAAGTTTAATTCCTGTTTAATGTCATTTTAAAATCATTTTTCAAGTCCTTTAGTTCCTGTTTGAGTTCGGTTTTCAAGCTTGTATGTCTTTGCACAGGTTTTGGATAATAACATGTCCAAATAAAGCATCTCAAGATTCTGAAAACATATTTTCATCTATATGTATTTTTTCGACAACGTGAGCCTTTGACAATAGAAAGCTAAAATGACACATTTCAACCAGAGGCAGAAAGAGTCTGTGTTTTCAAACCTGACATAGAAAAGTTGAATTTCTTCATGTGATCATTATTATTATGTCAATAAAAAGAGTTTATCGTGAGCATGTGTAATAAGTATTACTGCAGACTACAGCCCAACCAATTTGTACTATTATCAACCAATAGCTGAGCACGAACATATCAGTATGAACAATACAGTAATATGTTTGTAGTAGTTTGTTTTCCACCACACAGCAATGACCATTATATTTTTCAATTGTAAAATATCCTGTT